AAAAGTAAGAGGGGAGTGGAAAGTGCATGTGCTTCTTCTCCAGAGAAGCAGTAAGACATGTGTTTCTCTCGAGGTGACACCACAAACTGCAGAACACAGAAGTCCCACAGGATGTTCTTCACCTGTGTGCAGATCTCCTGTACGAGGCATTTTAATATTTAAAGACTGTTAGGCCTTGTGCTGGTTTTTCTTGAAATCTGTCAGAGAGATCACTCATTCAGTGCATCTTCAGCAATAAACCAAGCCACAGATAAAACACACAAGGAAGATGAACACTGAGAACAAACCACACAGAAGCAAACGAAGTTATATGACAAGGACAACACTATACTAGGAGCACAGGTGTGTGAATTAAGAAGCAATAATGCTCCATCTAAACTAACAGGAATATTCAAAAAAAAAAAAAAAAAACCCAGACCTCCGGACAGCATTCAAAGCTGCTAAATTAGGCTCTTGTTCCAATGGCTCCAGCAAAGTTTCTCTTTCTCTCTTCCCCTAAACACAGCATTAAAGAGGAAGACTAGCCTCAATTAAACTGAAGTCAGCCTCTGTGACTGCTCACCTTAGGGTTACTCTGGCATTTTCACACCTCAGTGCACAAGTACTGTATTAAACCTCCCCCGCCCCGACTGCATTGAAAATGCTGATCCAACATAGCATTACTGATCCCAGGGAAAACAGAAACAAATGCAGCAGCGTATCATATCTGCCAACCCTCCCCTAAAATCTTTCAAAAATAAATAATGCATCATAACCACAACAGGAAGATTGAGAATTTTTATTTGTACTTAGCACATACAGGAAAGATTAAAACAAATATTAAAGATAGCATTTGTAAACAAATATATTTTACAAAAAGTTATATACTATCAAATCTGCTCTGAAAAAATTCAGGGTTATACCCATTCATAAATGTACATTTATCAAAATCAAGTTAAAAAACTACTTCATTCTGAAATATCCCAAATAAAGATTTATTGATTCCAACAAGTTCAGAGAGACCACAGATGTTAAGGCCAAATTAAAACAAAAAGCACAAATGAAAATGGCACTATGATTCCCAGATTCAAAAAGACAGGCAAGTGATCAAAATACCAGGCAAGCCTATTAAAAGGCCTATGTCTGTAAAATATACATTCAACTTGGAAAAAGGCTAACTTAAAAAAATAGAGCTATTTCATTGGATCATACTCCTCTTGTAGCGTCCTGATTGTGAACTCTTTTTTGAAGCCTCTCAGAGAAAAGTTTTCAGAAGGTAGTTTTATGAACTTGTGTAGTTCACATCCATAATCACATTAAAAATAACAAGAAGATAGCAGCACTCTTTTAGCAAGGATTCATTTTCAACATTCTTGCGTTTGTAGCAGCAGGTATGGTTTTGGGGGATGCTATTAATATAATTAGTAAGTCCAAAATGCAATAGACATACTCTATACACTTTATTACAGTGTTCTTTCCATACACTTGCTTTTGAAGTTCGGTAAGCACAGAAAACAAAAATTGAAGATAAAAGAAACCCAAACCTATGACAATCTCAGCATGTGCCCTTTGTCAATGGTCCATGAACCATTCTGACTGCCAATTTGAATTATGATTTTCCCTCCCCCCAATCTCCTGTTTACACGTCAACTAAAAATGAAGTTTCTCAAACTTCATCTATTAATTTGACTCAAAAGAAACAGGAAGATAAAAACAATTAAGACATGCATGGCTGATGCCCAACAGCAAGCAGACTGTCACATCAGATTGAAAAAGTACGTTAGAATATAAATCCCCCAAAATATCCGATCTTGAGGCACTGAGAATTCTGATCAGTTTTCACAGGTTTTCCAAGACTTCTTATAAAAATATGGAAAATACTTTTCCCAAGAATGTCCATGAACACTAAATAAGGATGGATGTACACATAAAGACACACACGTTATGCACAATACACTTTGAACATACTGCAGACAGACAGTGACCATGGAATGCAATGATCATCTAAGGTGGCAGGAGAAATGGAGATGACTGTTTTTCAGAGTGTCGTCATGAGTTTATCTTGGTACACCATACTTTGGACTCCTCCTAAATTCTTCTGGTTCTGCTCTTGAATATAGCGTAAATTGTTGTCCTCTCCACTTGTGGGGGGTTTCCAATATGGCCTGTCATCATGATAGGGTGGCCTGTACCATTTGCACAGTTAGGGTTAGTGAGAGATGGAAGTAAACTTATGAGTGATACATTAACATGAGTTCATCCAGCAACTGCTAAGCATGTGTACAGAGTGACAGACAGCTACCAGTAAGGGAAGGAAATGGTGATGGACCTGTAGGACTGATGCAGAATCCCCCGAAGCAACTGGGAATATATATTTTTTCCATTTCCAAAGGCTCTGAATCAGAGCTCAGCCATTTAAAATCTCTCTTTTTGCTCCTAAATCCCAAAGGGATGATGAGAAGGAGCAGGAGGCTATAGAAAAAACTGAGTACAATAAACAAGTAAAATAAAGCATAACATGCAAAAAAGTTGAGCTTGTGAAAGTAGACCCCAAGGTCTAAAAAAATTAAGACAGACAACTATAAGAATGAAAATTGCTCTTCTGTAAATACTACCATTCACTCAACACTGGTGCAGCTAATTACACTGAAGCAGCCTTTAAATCATATTGTCACAGGTTGTTAGGCTGAATTTCTAGAGCCTACAGTTAGTACAGGTATTTCGCTATGACTTTGCGCTGAAACCTACAAAAGTACTAAGAGGAAAAATATTTTTTCCTCATTTGTTCATTACTGACTGGTACTTAGAGACATTAATTTAATTCACTCCTACAGCATATCCTGAAGTCATTTTGCAGGGGTGGAAAAAAAAAAAATGTTGACTAGTATCTAGAAAATCACACCACTTAAGATTCTCCTTTTAGCAAACTGGAGGTGCACTTTCTTTTAGCAATATTTTTATATGCTGGAGGAAATAAAGCCAGCTATTTTACTTTTTTTGGAGGGAAATATAAAGTGAGGAATTCTGAAGTTATATAATGACAATTGTTAATTGGAATGAATTTTCTCACAAGATTATACTTCTGTGTTAACTGCAAGCAAATAATTTCACTGAAAAGATTTTGCTGTTAAGACTGAGACACAATTCCACATCTTATTTCACAAATTATTTAACCAAAAAATAGACATAACATGGTATTGTACATTTAATACTTTTTATTTCAATCCTTGGCCCTTTCTAGATTTGCAAGCCCAGCAGAAAGATTTATATGCATTTGTGGTTTGATCTCAAGTTCATAGCTGCATTAAACATTCTCCAATGAAACCACCTAAGACGTTAGCCATGTGCAACTCTTCTACTTTGACTCCCATTATAATAACTTGATGCTTTAACTTTAACTACATGTTTAAATACCTCTACCCAACTGCGATAAAAATTCTGAGCACCTCTTCCACCGAGCTTGCAGGACTGAGTTTTTAAGTAAGTTTTTAGACTTAATGGTCTAGCTATGAAAAAGCCATTGTTTCATATTCCACTGACCTTAATATCCTTAGGATATGGGGATGGAGGCGGGGGGGAAGGCAAGTGGCAGAGGGCAGGCTTAGGAGGGAGAGGTATTCTGCACACGTTACAATACACGACTGTGCTTATTTCAACATCGCTCTGCTCCAAAGCAAGTTTATTAACTTTAAAATGTTAGACTAGTGCCATAAGCATAAAAAGCTTTAGAAAAATTTCAACAAAACCTCCAATAGTTTGTAAAATCATTAACTTTTATAGGCAGTCACTCTTTAGCTATGTGCAATTCTACACATGAAATCACATACACAAAATGGAGAAGTAAATCCTAAAGAACAGGAGGAATCTTGAACATGAAGTACTAGCAAAACTCACTATCCAATTTAAATGGTCTTCTGTTTCTAGCATAATTTTAATATCTGCTTTACTACTGTATGCTAGGAACTCCAACATGACAGTATATGTCTACTTCTCTGCCTAACAAGTATTTCCCATCACGTCTCTGCCTTTTTCCTGCACCTTCAGAGTCAAACTCAGATTGAATTATCTCCTCTTCCCTTTTAGGCTCAGCCTCATCTCCAGAGCCCATCTACACTATGAACAAAGTCTACCTGTCTTGTTTGAAAAATATGGAGATGAAAAGGTAAGAAGGATGGGAATAAAAGAATTGGTATTTTTCAAGACAGTTATTATTTGCCTAAAATACTGAGCAACCTGAAAGTTTTTTTTTATTAGGATAAAAAAAAAAGCTGATTTTTAATCACACGTGCATGCACAGACACATACCCACCCGCAGGTGTGTACCTCCACCTGTGCATTCCCTATGTTGTCTCTAACTTCGACTGAATTTCTTCCAAAATTTATGTTCACTTAATTTCTCTCAAAGTTTGTTTAAAAAAAAAAAAGTACACAGCAAGATAGCACAATAGCACATACAGAACATTTTTGTAAAATAGTTCTCAAAAACTCAATGTCATAAATAATTTCGTCAGCACTAACTATCTGCAAATCTCCTGATAAATCGGTCTATGTACATATTCCATGTACACGTTATTCATCCATTTTTCCACACTTAGGCCGAAGATGAGTGTGCTGCAAATCAGGCATCTGTTTACTGATGATTTAAATTTACCCTAAAAGGATATTCTTCTTTGTCTTAGGAGATTAAATATTGATCAAATTACAACTCATTTTACTGCAGACATTGAACAGCTCTCCATCCAGCATACTATCTACAGAAATACACTGACATTGCATTTTAAATTAAAAATCAAATTATTTGACCTAAAAATCAATCTGAAAAAAATTTATCAGGGAGACTAGAACTTTCCAAAGAAAAATCTAAACTCAAGTTACTTAATGGTGCCTCTGCATCACATATTTCTAACTTGTTTGCTTTTCATGTCCATAAAATCATCTGATACATCCACCAAAGTTTCACACCAACAGATTAAGGTAAAGAAAGGAGGAACCACTTTTTCCATGAAGTGAAGATTGCTTACCTTACATTTACAGGTGTATGTGGATGCCAGTGTGGCTGAGCAGGATGAATATTAGGATGATACTGTGGCTACAAGTGAAAATATTAAACCTTGTTAATGAAATCATATGAAAATTCCCCATTAACTTTAACTTCTTATTTTTCTGGGGCCAAGAGCAACATGCTGCCTGTGAACCCTGGACTCAGGAGCACTTCTCAGACTATCTCCCATGCAATTCAGCATATGCAAGAGATCGCTTGGTGATGAACTTGCTCATTAGGGCACAGTCATGGGTAAACGCAAAAAAAATCCCTTTTCTTTTTAGGGGAACACATCTCCTGGCGCATGTAATGCATGCCAGAGAAGGAGCATCAAGAACGGCAGCTTTAATCAAAGGTGGAGAGTGAGAAAGGTTATTATTAAGGTTATAGTAGTCTTCAGAAGGTCAGCTGTCTATGGTGACAGCATTTCCCTCTCATATCCAAAAGGTCTTGATAGGAAACAGTGAAACAAAATCCCTAGTGAAGCGCATGCAGTCTGGATGAAAGCACAGCTTGCTTTCTCAGTAGCACTGACTGGTAGTAGGACAGATGAAAACAGGGTCAGGTTTTCCCCAGAGTGTATAAACAAGGTTGTTTTTTTTTAAAAAAAAAAAAAAAAAAAAAAAAAAAAAGCAAGCACGTTGCTCTCAAGAGCGGTGTCCTGGGGTCCATCAAATCCACAAACCCAAAAGGTTTAGCCCATGATTTCATAGAAAAGGACGGAAAAGAGGGTGGCAAATGGAGTGTCCTCAGCTTGCAGAGCATCCCAGAACATGGGGAAAGCAACAGACTATGGTTCCTCCATTTTACCATGAATTCCTAATTTGCTGCTGCTTACTTCTGAGCCACCACAGAAATCTTACCCCAGAGTAAGGAAAGGGGAGCAGAACATTGTCTTAATTATAGACAGCAGCAATATTTACCATTAAAATAAGAAAACTACAAGTAAATATTCTCCCCACCAACTGTTATGCTTACCTGGTAGCTATGGACTTCGGGAGTATTTTTAGCACTAAGAGGAGAAAAGAAATAGCTTTTATGCAATCAACACTGACAAACACCAAAGATGCACATAAAAATGCCATTTAGACTACTACTAAGAAGAAAAAAACCACCCTGATTTTATAACTGTCCGAAGGAAAATCTGATCCTGGCAGAATCCTACCAAGTTTGCTAAAGATTGGACAATTGTATGAGTGAGGACTTATTCAGATTATCCTAATTCATTTAATTGCATAGTCAAAACAGCTTATCTGCACTACCAGGATATTCTTACAAAAATATCAATAGCACAGTTTCACATAGCGCAGGGTTTTACTCTTCAAAGAGTTACACTGAAGTTCAGCTCAAATTTCATTTACTTAAGAGTACAGCACAGCAGTTAGGGTGCACGAAAGAGGGGAGCAAAACTCTCTTCTTCATTTTACACTTATGAAGCTAGATAAATTAGCATAATAGCAGCAAGAGCAGAAAGGAAGTTTAATTTATTTTAGTCTGATCTCAAAACACAAAGAATTAAAAAAAAAAAAGGAAGGACTCAGTCTCATAGGCACTCCCCAAAGAGAGTGTGGTGCTGCATAACAACAGATCCCAAAGCAATTCATCCCACACCAGAGAATTTGCGTTGACAAATCCTGATGCAGAAACAGGGTCTTCAGAATTGTTTTTGCCTGAAAACAGTACTTGAAAGATAGAGAAAACTTGGACAGTGACTTACCACAGTTGTGCTGCTTTCACAGGATTGTTTGCTTAAAAACAAAAACAAAAAAACTTAATATGTCAAGCAGAACAGTCATTTTACAGCGATTCTGACTGGAACATTACACCACAGCTTAAGTATGTCCTCCTCCAGGCACATTTGAACAAAAAATGTCAGAGCTGCAAGTTCAACCCTGTGCTTTCTTTCTAGTATTCCCATGGGAGTGCATAAAGTATGAGGCAGCCATGAACCTCCCTGTTTCAGCAAGAGTGAAGTCCTACCTGGTGCCACCATCACAGACGGTAGACAAGCATTACGCCCAAACAGCAGGAAAGAAGGGCTTTTGGCAGAGTGAATCCTGCATCATTACAGCACCGCTTTCCTCAACTTGCTGCAGCTGCCATGCCAATAGCACTGCGTCCCTCAAAAATCAGAAACTACCCCTCAAAGCAATTTTCTGTCTTTCAGAAATCAGAGTGTTTTTGAAGTCGTTAGTGGCCTGTGTCTTATTACAGTGAACCACAACAGCAAAAGAGCCCACCAGCTGGGAATCGGGGAAGGCAGTGAGCAATCTTCAGCAGCAAGATCTTAACTGGTGCTTTGGAGTGGCTAGAAAGAATTGTGAAGAAGGCAGTTGAACATCTAGGATGTGTCATTCCTTTTTCCTGACAAAAAGCATATTTTCAGAAAGAACACTGGAAAACTGCTGAATGATCCAGCTAAGGATCCAAGACTGGGCTGAATGCAGGAAACGGCTGCAGATTTAACATGGCATTGTAGAAGCACAGGCAAAGACACCAAGAGTTGCGACAGAACCCAACAATTACGGGCTGCAACTAAGAAAAGGTCTTAATGGCCCAGCGATGCGTGAAAGAAAGTAATTTAAAGGGAGCCTTTGCATGAACTTCAAGAACATGCTGTTGAACTCTCCGGAGGGAGCATAAAAGAAGCCTTGAGATGGCTTTTTTACTTCCCAATATAAGATGATCAAATGTAATATGCCAACATTTCAACAAAGTGAACATCACTTGTCATAAAAGTGATTAACCAACTGGGTATAACACAAGTTCTGCCTGGCTGCTATGCCAGAAGCAAGCTGAGCATAGGCCACACACTCTCTCTTTTCCCTCCACCTCACAGCTTTATGTCTTTGCACAGAAGCACAGAGACACAAGATATATATGCAGATCTGACAGATCCTGATATTTTAAAAATTTAATTAAAAAGGTCTATTCTTCCTCATACGAAATCTTCCACATCTCCCTTATAATTGACTTATACACCACATGACAGTACCTCACAAATTTAATAAACTGGCATTTCTGCAAGAGAGAGGCACATACTACATGAAGGGCAGAGGGGGGAGACTTACAGCATTCAAAAAGCATACATACTTGCTTCCCTTTCTCTCATTCTACGTGAGAAGGAAAGCAAAGTGCCCCCACAGTACCACCACAAAGAACTTCTCATGGAACTGAGGTTCATGTTCTTGGAATGCAAAGGAATGCAAGGACGCCCTAAGGGAAGGCCAGCTCACCCTGCTCCACACATGAGCCACACCCCTCCTGCCTCAAATAACCGTGGATTCAGAGAGGAGCGTCTGAGAAAGCTCCTTCCTAGTTTTTTCTACAAGGAATAAAAATCTCAGCTTAAGTTATAAAGTAAAAGGGATAAAAATCACAAAGGGAAATCAATCCCTTGTCATTCCATTCAAATTCAGTACATTTCAATACCCAGAGAGAGCTGGTTAAGTTTAGACTTGGGACAGGTGAACAATATGTCAGAGTCAAAGAAGCAACAACTGAATAATGAAACTGCTCAATAACCCTTAAATTGTCTGACCAGATCGGGAAGCTGGTGAGGCTTTCGAATGCTGCTCCACTCTAAATAACAAATACACTTTTTCCAAGAACACGTTATATGGACGTTTTCCTCATTGAATTTTTGATATACCTTTTCCTCCCTCCTCAGCTGAGCAACAAAAGCAACCAGAGGAACTTGCATCTTCAAACATGGTGACAGAATAAGTTTGGTCAGAGTTTAAAAACAGTAGATACCACCAACAGACTGACTTGGGTGGAAGAAAACCATGTCAATTCCAATTTTTTAGCTGGTCTGACATATTGTGTTTTTCCCGTACTGTGGTACAAATTGTATGGTTCTAACATGATATTTATGCCAGTTAGGAGGACACTTACATGACCAGTACAGTGATTGTTTATACAAACACTTACTTTTAAAAGTTGAATGCCTTCGAGAAGGATATCGCTTGCTGGGCCTTCTTTCAAATGTGCTAGTTCTGCGTAATCTTGTCCCATGCGTTGCTTGATACTCTGTCCGTCCACTTAAAATACAAAAACGAAACAAGTTAACCACTGCCTTTTGCTGGATGCTGTATCTACTTGCTCATATAAATACAAATAACTTGTTCTGTAAACTTCACCTCACCAAATACCTGAATCTGAAGCGTGATCCCAGCCTTATGAAGTCAGATCTACTAGATTTACTGTTTGCTGGGGCTCGCAGTCTGAAGAAAGCATGGTGTTCCACTGCACACTTCCACAAGTGTTTGCAAGTTTTGGCACTGTCTAACCGGAAAACAAATGTGTGCTCTTGCTCTCTGCCCTAAATGCAGAAACAAAAGCTTTGCAAGTTGGCATGCATAGTATTAGTTACTGCTCACAGAAAGGAAAAAACAGCCTGGTCCAAAAGCATACTGAGCCCCCTCTGTATCCTCCTCAGTCCCAGCACTCCACACTTTGTTGGATCAGGTCAAAAGAAGGGAAGAGAGTTACCTGTTCGTCATCTTCTACCACGACAAGCGTTAGTTTGCTCTTCTTAAAGTCCATTTTCGTGATTTTAGGCCTAAACATTTAGGAAGCAAATGGAAAATTAATGGAAACTCAGCATTTTGTAATCTAAATGTATGAGGGATTTCCAATGCCGCAATACTTCAAGGATTGTAATAAAAATACTATTTTCTGGCTCTGTGTATGTTTTTCAACAAATACGTAACATTTGAGACCGGCACTTCTAACCAGGCCAATTCACCTTCAAATCTATTTTAACCTTGTATATTTAATCTACATTACAAGATATAGCCAAGAATTTATTATTTAAAGAGGACAGATTTCAGCATTTGAACAAAAAGGATTATGAAAAGAAGAGCCCATTACCAAAAGAATAAGCCTATTTTGTTTGCTCCTTCAAAGATCAATATGCCTGTTGGTGTCAGTCCAAGAGCATATTCACAACCATCTCTTCCCTACAAGCAAGCACAAAACCAATAATCAATATGCAAATAGTACTATAAAACTTATTATGATAGCATATCAAAATCCATCTGTTTTAAACTCTCTCTATATATGTGTGTATATATATATATACACACACACACACACATTTTTAACATTACAGAGCAGAAGAATCTACATCAGTGCTAGACATAATTAGCAGGAGTTTGGTAGCAGGGTGCTGCTGAGGTCATTGCATGAGAAGAGGCCATGGGAAGAGGCCCTGGGCTGGTCACAGCCCCTTCCAGTCAGCTCCAAAACAGATGGAAAAAGCCACCCATGCAAGACACATTTAAGAAACACTGGGAGCTGTGAGGGGCAGGAGACAAAAGGAAAAACGTGAGGAGAAGCAGGAGGAGGCACGTGGAAGGGAACATTGTTGGGGACGAGTCTGGAAAGGCACTTTTGGAAGGAGGAGCTCCATGCAAGAACAGGGACAGCCCCAAAGAGACTGCGGCCCATAGGCAACCCACACTGGAACAGAGGAGCAGTAAGAAGCCAAGAGCAGTGGAGAAAAAGAGCAAGGAGTGGCAGCAAGAAACCACTACGTGCTCACCCCAATGTCACGTGATGGGACTGAAGGGATTGGGAGGGACTGTGTGAAGTGCAGTGAAAGCAGGGGCGGCTGAGCCTATGAGGGGGGAGGAGAGATGCTGGACTGAAGTTGAGCCAAGGAAAGAAGAGGACAGGTGTTTCCCCGAAGTGTTTCTTTAATTGTCTTTTTTCCCCCCTCAGTACCCAAAGCAGTAATTAAAAGTTTAGGTTAACTGGCAACAAATTAAGTGCAATTCCCTGAGTCGAAGCCGTTTTCTGATCCCACATTAATAAAGCAAAGTGTAACACAGATCTTACCTTAACTACATGCATATCTACACCATACATTTCTAGCCATTTAGCTTTGTTCAAGTAGCACAGTTCAGCTTGCGCTGGGCTCTTCCCCCTGTAACACGAAGCTTATTTTTGTTCACAGTACAAAACTTGTGGCTGTTTTTAAAATTCCTTCCCACACCACTTTTCTTTCAGCTCTTAACTTTAATTTCATTCAGAAATGTCAATGTCTCACTACAGGTTTAATTTACCTTTTCACCCTTGAAAATAAATCAAAGGGGCAAAACTGAAAGAGATATGAGATTGCCAATGAGGATGAGTGTACAGGTAAGATGAGATCGATCACTGAACAAAAAAACCACAATCACGAAATGATCTGTATGCTTAAACTGTTATGAAATCACCTAACCACAGAAAAGGAACCCCCCATCCCCATCCCCAATCTTCCTCAGATTAAAGCTTGTCATTTCTCAGAGAGAGATTTTCAAGGACTGCCTAGAAAACTTCTCAACACACAAGTATAAAAGCTATTTTATGTTTGTTGAAGGGGTCCCTTGTGGACATGTCTGACCCTGGAAAAAAAAGAAGACATCTTGTTGCTAAACACTATCCCTATACGGGTACCCTACCTGCACTCTT